AAAAAAAAAAAAATCTGTCAGGGTGAGAGTAGCCCAGTTGCTCTTGCTAGCTCAGCAAAGAAGACAGGCCCTCGTTGGAGGGGAGTTTTCAGCCAAGCAGAAAACACCCACAGGGCTTACCTAGTCTGATGATCTCCCTCTCTGAAGATGGGAGACACAACCTCAAAAATTAGATGTCTGAAATAATGGAGACATCTGGAAAAGGATCACTGCTAGAGGAGGGAACACTGATTAAGGCATTCTAAACTGTGTATAAACTGAGGTGACTTCAAGTCATGCTCTAAGAGCTGCCCTAGGTAGGTGGAGGCCAATGGGCCTATACTGGCCTGTGCTTTTCTTCAAAGGCTGTGGCTGCACCCAAGTCTTTCTGATTCCATCCATATGATCAATCTCAACCGTCAGCAAAGAATTGCTAACCTGCACACTGAGCAGTGCTCAGGACCCGAGAGAGGCTCGGCACAGCACTTGGAGAACAGAGGAGATGCATCTATGATGGATGAAGGGCAATATGACCAGGTGATGGGGAAGACAGGCTCTCCAGGAGCCTTGGTTGTGACAAATGGGAAGCCAAAGGTGAAGAGTTGAGCAGCCCAGATACTATTGTTATAAGAAAGAAGAGTTCTGGAACACCCTCTGCTGGCCATAAAGAGTTGTTCCTCCTCAAAGCTGGGACCAGAGATGGGTCATCTATCAGTCATGGCTATTGTCAGGAGACATGTTGGTCAGTCCATCAGCACATATCCACACAGAGCTAGCATGAATAGCAGCTAATGACCAAAGCACTGATTGACAGTATTAAGGGCCATCCTGCCTACAGTCAGGCCTATATAGTGCTCTTTGCCAAACCCACTTCTGTATCTTTATAACTTTCAGGTCTGTATACTCTGTGATTATTGCCACCCTTTTCCCCTTACCAGCTTAGTGTTTCTGCTCAATGGATTCTTTTTTTTTTTTTTTTTTTTTTTCACGGAACCGGGGATTGAACTCAGGCCCTTGCGCTTGCCAGGGAAGCGCTTATTCCACTGAGCCATCTCCCTGGCCTCTTGTTCAACGGACTTTTGAAGAAACCACTACAGTGGTATGGGTGGAAACTACAAATTGGTCTAGTTAGTATGGATTCTTCCCACCAAAACTTAAAACTTGACTGGCTGCTGCCTCTGAGTGCCCAATTTGTCAGCAGCAGTAATCAACATTGAGCCTCCTCTCATTCTATGGCTTCTTCCCTTCAGGAGATTGACTAGCTATGGATGGATTGCTTCTATAAGCTGGGAGAGGCACCCGGTCCTGCCTCCAACATAGGAACTCTCCACTTCTGAGTAGAACACACAATCAGCAGGCAAAGCTGAAGAGAAATGTGCACGGACCACAAGTGCCCACCCCCTCACACACAACACTGGCACTCAGAGAACACATCAGCTCACATGTACCTACACAGCACACAAGCCTACATTTACCAACACACAAGTACATGCACACACTGCACAGGTCAGCATTCCAAATAGTTTCTCAGTTAACACACAGGCAAATAAGCACCCAGACATCTCTGTAGAGGCTGTGACCACTGGTGTGCATTGATCATAAGCCTGTACACTGAACAAGGCCCATTGAGCTCAAGGAAACCCTTTCCTGACCCCAGCTGCTCTATGAGCTCTTGCTGCCAAAGACTCAGCAGGGTTAGGGTTAGACTGCTGCCCAGCAGAGGTGGCTGGAGGCTGACATGAGGACCACAGTACAGTCACTGCATGGTGAAGCTATCAGTACAGCACACTCCCTGCCCTCTTCATTAGCCACTAAGGAGTTGGACCTTTCTCATTCCTACCCAAGTGACTTTCTGGGCTGGCTGGTGACATCTGGCAAATGAGAAACAGCTTGTAAATAAAGTCCCCTGTGGGTGACTGGAGAGAAAAGAAATTGCTTAGGGCCTTTCCCCACTTGGGTCTGGTTTTCTATTATGTATAATTAAAGTGGGGGTAGGGGACACTAGTATGGGAAAGGAGTTAGGAAATCATTTTTCTAGCCCCAGCACCGCCATTTTTATGTGGTATGACCTTAAACAAATTGCTCCCTCCGAGCCCAGGTGATGGCTCAGTAGAATAGGCGCTTGCCTGAAGTGCAAGGGCCTGGGTTCAATCCCAGGTTCCACAAAAAAAAAAAAAAAAAAAAAAAAACCACAAACTGCTCCCTCAGTGAGCCTCAATTTTGCATCTCTAAAACGGCCTTTGGGGTTCAACCCTGATCTAAAAGTATCAGGAATTATTCATAGGCAAATCAAGCTTGCTTGGAAAAAAGACTTATTACAAGAAAACTCATTATAATGACAACTATTCTACATCCATCGGTTTGCTACATGTTATCTTCAAACTATTTTCTTAACCCTGTTTGAATGCATTGCCCAATCTCTCAAAGGTTTATGCCATAACCTCCTAACCTAGACTAGAGGTTTGTGGTGTGGGCCCATATCTCCCCTAGCAAACTAAACCAACATAAGGAACAAAGTCCTCAAAACTTCCCAGAAAGCTTGAGTCAAGTGGGGTCAAGATGGACACCAGGAAACAAAATCAAAGCCCTGGTCCCAGGGTCTGTTGATCACCAGCCGAGCCTCAACTCACACACACACACACACACACACACACCCCTGAACCACTCTTGACGTTGCCAGTTCCTCTCTACTCCTTATTCTCCCCACCTCTTCTCCAGTGATCTAGTTCCGCAGGTCCCATCTCTTCTGAATCTTTTCAACCCACCCCTTCCTGCCAGAACCCCATCCTTATCTCAATCTTTCCTGCTTCTGCACTCACCAGCCCCAGGGCCAAGGACAGAGAACAGCAACAGCAGCAACAGGGCTGGCGGCAGCTGGAGCCCAGACCTGAGTCGAGGCTGGGAGAGGGGCAAAGTATGAGACAGACGGGGGGCCAGTGAGGAGGGCAAACACAGAGATGAGGGCAAAGGCTGAGATAATGGGCTGGGCTGGGCTGAGCACTGAGGTCTGAACAGGGGAAGGGAGTGTGGTGGAAGGAAGGACTGTGTTGGGGAATGGAGCCAGAGTCGGGGTTGAGCCAGGGGTTTAAGCAAAAGCTGGGAATCGGGTGGGGACAGAGGCTGGGCTGGAATTTGCGACAGAGGGTGGAATGGGGGCCGAGGCAAGGATGGGGACCAGGCCAGAGACCGGGACTGAAGAGGGGGTCTGGACTGGGACCTGGACTTGGGCATCCGCAAGGACCCAGGCCCGGGCTGGGACAGATTTGGGAAGCGGGGCGAGGGCGGGGCCGGAGGCCAAGGCTGGGATTGGGATAGGACGAGGGGCCGGGACAAGGGCTGGGCCATGGCCCGGGGCGGGGGCGGGGCCGAACAGGCCAGCGCGGGGCGCTCGCAGCGCTGACCCGCGACTCCGCTCCCCACCCCTGGGGGGTGACCTCTGGTGTCCTCGTGGGCCTAGGGCCTGGGTCCGGGACCTGGATAGGAGTTCAGGCCTGGGCGACTCCGGGCTGCGCCGAACCGGTGATAACCAGGCCCGCGGCGGCGGCCCCGAGCTGACGTCTATGACACCCCGCCCCTCTTGCAGTTCCATTGGTCCCTCTCAGTAAAGCCCGCCTTCTGCATTACTCCATTGGCCTCTAACTTCGTGCTGTGGGGCTTCAGAAACAGACTCCGCCCCAGCCCCAGAGACCTGAGATCTTGTCTTTCTCGCCCAAACAACAGAGTCCCAGGACCCCCAGGTTCTCTCAGCTCTCGCAGAGTTCGTACCACAGATCTATAAGAACCCTACAGAGACCCCTACAAACCTATATTCCTCATGGATGTAGCACAATATCCACACATTCCCTCCAAGGGACACGCTCAAACCCCCAATCGGGTCCAATGATGCTCCCCATCCCCACCCCTCGCCATGAAACCTTATCTACATAGGAAGTGACCAGACTCGTGTTGTCATGGCGACTACTAGGTGGTCCGGTTGCCCTGGTGACCGAACCTTCTCCTGACCCAGGTTCTAGAGGTTTCAGTCAAGCCCCTCCCTCATCTACATCGGCTCAGAAATCTTGTCCCTCCCTCTTACCACCCTTCCCCAGGTCAGCCAGAATCCTTTGTAAAAAAATCTACAAATGCCCAGGTCCCCAAAGAGTTTCAGGCAAGTTCTTTCAGTTCTCAGCACCTGCAACTCGCACCTGCAACTCGGCTCATCCACAACCAAGAGAGTTCCGTCCCTTGAACTAACACTTCAACCTATGGCAAGATCCTGACCTAAGGACTTCTAACAATCAAGCCAAAGTCCAGAGGTAGGTAGTTTCTCAGTGCCCACCCCCAACCTTCAATATGTCCCTTCTGTCCCTACCTGGCTACTTTTCATTCTTACCCTCCCCCCTCACACAGTTCTCTCCTTTCACTCCTCTCCTCACAGCCTCTGGCTCCCTACCTTCAGATACCCTTTTGTTTTTCCCCTAGCTGACTCTGGCCACCTTGTGCCCCATTATCCTACCCTTGACCCTAATTCCTTTACCAAACTTCCACTCAGGAAAGGTTCTAATGAGTTCAGGAAAGCTCTGATTAATTTAAGAGCTATGCCTAGTATCTCAGGAGCATGGGAAATATCAGGATAAAGAATAGTTAAGGCAAAAATTCTCTGATGATGCAAATGATGACAGATCTTTTAATACAAGGACCAAGAAATTTGGACTTACTAATTTAGGCTGAGCCAGTAATGTTTTTAAGCGAGGGAAGGCAGTGTTGGATTTGCATTTTGGAAAGATCTTGCTTGATCTAGTCAAGATGGAAGACTCTTCTGGACATCTTTACAGGATAAATTAGGCAGACTCCCTGCTCACAATATCCTACATTTACTTAAGCACATCAGCTCATTTGTGTTGTCATTGTTAGTTAAGTCTCTGTACCAAACTCCACTGAGTCCAATGCTTAGCACAATGCCTGAGAAAAAGTGTAAGATTAGACTCTTTGTAAATTTCTTTCAGTTTCCAGCACCTGCAACTTGCTCATCCACAACCAAGAGCATTTCCTCCCTCGAACTAACACTTCTCCAACCTATGGCAAGATCCTAACCTAAGGACTTCTAACAAGCCAAAGCCCAGAGGTACATAGTTTCTCAGTGCCCACCCCCAACCTTCAATGTGTCCCTTCTTTCCCTGCATGGCTACTTTTCATTCTTACCCTCCCTTTCACACAGTTCTCTCCTTTCAATTGTCTCCTCACAGCTCTGCCTCTCTACCTTCAGATACCATTTTTTTATTAATAAGAGAATAGATGAATAGATTAGTAATGATAAGGATGGAAATGGAAGCATAAAGTTATTATGCAACCTAGGCAGAAGATAACGAGACCCTGAACAAAATTGGAGGGAAAAAAGCAGAGGTCCATTATCCTACCAATGATCCTAGTTCCCTTACCAAACTTCCACTCTGGAAAGTCTCTGATGAGTTCAAGAAAGCTCTGATAAATTTAAGAAGTGATATATTTTTGGTACCTATTAGAAGATGGGCAACTATAGACAAGGAGAAGACTAATTCCCAGAATTCAGTTTTGATGCCTGTAGAACACCAGTTAGAAATGACCAGCAAGAAGTTAAAGCGCACGGATTAAAATCTGGAAATGTGGAAATAGAAGTCAGCAGTTTACCACTAGAAGTAGTTGAAGCTTTGAACAGGAATGGCAAAGGAGGGCATTTGTGGTCCCTAAACAACAACAACAACAAAAACAGACTACACACAGGGTCCTACTTTATGTATTCTCCCACTCAGGAGCCAATCCCAACTTCGGAATGTTATTTCCAAGTTCTGGGACTCCACAGCCTGACCTCCAGGTTGCCTAAGACCCTACTCTTGGACTGACCAAGTACCTGGATATGGGCTTCCTTCTGGGCATGGTTCTCTGCTACCATCTACTGATGGCATTCTGACTACTTCAGCCTTTCTCTAAGCTCCAGCTCCCTAACAAGTGAAGGCAACTTAACACATGAGGTCTGGACACTTGAGTGGGCCTCCTGGTATCATACTCTGAAACCCAGAACTCTTGTGTCTCAGGTGCGATAAAGCCTTATCCTAATTCCATAACCCCTTGGGAGCCCTGGGCTCTGCCTTAACTTGAAGATCTCTCCAATTCCAACCTAATAAAGCCTGTACCCTCTTCTACCACTAGATGGAAGCAGATAGGATCGCAGAAGAGGAAGATATCGCTACCACCATGGATGCAAAAGAACACCCTTCATCAAAAGACCCCTCTGCTGAAGACTTACAGGCTCTCCCTACCTCTGAAACCCCTTTGGAGCCCTCTGTCTCTGAGACTCCTTTAGAGCCCCTTGCTGCTGAAACCCCTTTACAGTCCCATACCTCTAAGCCTCCTTTGGTGTCATCGGTAACTGGTGCTTCTGTGTCGCCCTCTGATGCTTTGGGGGAAAACCTCCTCTCCGAGTCTCCCTCCAGGGAAGTCCAATGGGTGAAGAGGTCCTCTCAGGTCCCTGAATTTGAGCACCTTCCAGAGCACTCCCTTTCAGGCTCTTCAATCCATGTATACAGGGACACATCTTCAAAACAGAAGGAAGAGGCAGAAAAAGACAAGAACATAGTGGATACCAGTGACATGGCTCACACAGCCCAGCCTGGGTACCAGCAGCACAAGAAAAAGGGGAAGAAAGGAATTATCCGTAATTACCCTTGCCCTTTTCCCTGTACTTATTACTGTCATCGGCCTAGGATGAGGGATCTGGGTTATTCTTGTAAATGTCCATTTCTCTTAGGTCTTACTTTTTTTTTGTTTTGGAGATTTTGAGGGGTTGAGTTTTTTGTTTGTTTGGTTTTGTGTGTGTGTGTGTGTGTGTGTGTGTGTGTGTGTGTGTGTATGTGTTTGGTTTGGTTTTACTATTTATTTATTTATTTTGAGACAGGATCCTGCCAATGTAGTTCAGACTGGTCTTAAACTCACTGTGCAAACCAGGGTGGCTTTGAAGTCATGGCATTCCTCCTGCCTGAGCTTCCCATAGTGTGCTGGGATTACAGTTGTGTACCCCCACACCTGGCCCCTTTGTCTTAGTTTTAGAGCCCCTTCACATCCCTCCTTGTTTACTTAGCCCCTCCCTTCCTAGGTTACACAGGCCACCCAGTGGTCCCTGCTAAGCAGGCAGAACTGGTGGAGATGGCCAAGGCAATGCACAGAGAACAGTTTGGTGCTCAGATGAATCATCTTTTCCAATGGGAGAAGGATGCAGCCCTTAATGCCATCCAGACAGGTGAGCCCAGATGGCATTTCAGATAGGTGCCTGTAACAGGCCAGTGGACATCATCTAAACCGGTATATGTGGGAAACTGCCTGTTCAGTGAATAGTTGCTCCTTGTGGAAATGACTATGCCACCTGCCTAGAAGGGAAGCAAGGAGGCAGGCCCAAAAATATCAGTATGGGCTGACAAAAAAGAGATAATCATATAAAGCCCAGGTAGGGCCACTGACTGCATAAAATTTTGTTAAAAAGAGAAGACCTAGAGGCCAGTCCCCAGTCTAGGCCCCAGATAGCCTGCAGCAGACAGATCCTAAGGCGGAGGTGGCTGAGGATCCTGAAAAGTCTCCAGGAGTCTTCTTATCTGGATATAGGAAATGACCTTGGCTCCTTTGGTGGACGTCCACTAAAGGCTATCACCTGCATGCCAATCTGTGATCACTCGTGTACCCTAAAGTTTTAGGACTTCCCACTAAAGAGAAGAATTCTGTTTCCTAGGCCTATTGAGTCTTGAGTTTCAGCCCAGGTGCTCCTGTCAGTAGCATGCTGTATTTGTCTGTATTTCTGTTGTGCAGATGAGCTGTGTCAACAGTAGCAACTTGTATGTGAGCATGTCTGCCTGTGTTACTGAGCTTCACATCTACAGAGATACTAACCTCAGGAAGAAGGCCACCCTGGCCTGCTATAAGGATTCTAGGGGATCCAGACTGAATGATGTCACTATGTTTATTGTGGTCTTTGTGCTTCCTTTTCCCCTTATCATGAGAACAGAACTAAGTCAAAAGGATAACCAGGTGGTTCCATATCCTTTCCCTGTTCCCATTCAGGGAGTCTCTACCTTGGGCCAAGAACATCACAGAGACCTCATTTGTTTCTGTTTAATTCAGGCATTGAAATGGCTTTTTTGCTTATTTTAACACCTTCTATTATTCTTATTTTCTTGCAAATGTCAGATCTGTTGGCCCATGACTTCTCTTCTTGGACTCCTATCTACTCTTCAAGGGCAGGGCTGCTCTTCTTCTCTTCTCCCACCCCTCTCTTCCTTTTTCAATTTGCAGGTCTTTATTTTCCTGGCTAAAATAGGAAGCTCATACAAAATTTAAATATCATTTAATCTGAACAAAGATATTTGAAGTCCCCTTCTAAAATTAGAGAACCCTGAATCTTTGGATAGTCAGTACCCCATAACAGTACATGCTGTGTAAAGAAATGTCAAATGTAAGCTTTTTAAAAAAATTATTTCAACAAACATTTAATGTGTGCTGGTTTTGAGCAAATTGTAGAAGTAGTGGGACTGGCTGGTAAGATTTTAAAGACAAAATCACTCAAGTTATTTGCACTCAAATGAGTAAAAGAATAATCACAACTCACTTCAGTAATTCTTATACCCAAAGTGCTACAGGAGCAAAGAAAAGGGACATTGATTCTTGGGTGCTAGAGAAATAAGCCTTAGAAGGAAAGCCTGTTCAGCTCATATCTGTACAATGTAAGAAAAGGTGGTCAACTCTAGAGAAGAGTAAGGTGAGATATGACTAGATAGGATATCTTAGGACACTGTAGCAATCAATGCATGATGCCTGGTGCATGAAGAAATTGAGAGTAGCCAGCTCAGCTCTGGAAGGGAAGAGCTGTGGAAGCACATCTGTGCCAAGCTAAAGAGTTGGGATTATATCCTAATGGCAACTGAGACTTGCTAAAAGATTTTAAATAGGACAGAAACATGAGCAGATTTGCGTTTTTGGAAGAGCACTCTGGCAACAGAACAGACTGGAGAAAGCCAAGGTTGGAGACAGCAAAGTTACAGCAAGAGGCCTTGGTATATTAGTTAAGAAGTAGGTATGAAGAGCAAAGTGGACAGATTCACAAAATGCTGACAAGGCCAAATTTACTACTGGATTGTTGGATGTGTGTAATAACGGAAAATGTGTGTACTGGCACCTAAGTTTTTGGCTTAAATAGCTGGTTAGATGGTGATGCCTAAAATAGGGTAGATGCTAGATAAATGTGTGTTGGATGAAGAGAAGGCCAAAGATGAGGACTGGGTTTGGAAAGAAAGCTGGATATAACACATAGAAGTGCTCATGGAACATGTTCCTGAAAAAGGCTGAATGGGCCTGAAGCTCCAGAGAGGGGTCTGGACAAAGACATCCTTCCTGTAAAGACACCTATGTGGCGTGTGGAGACACCTAGTCATAGAGAGATACTATCATACAAGTGTGACCATGGAGTCACGTGACTGGACTACACTGCTGTGAGAGTGGTGGCCCAGATAGTGTCTTCCCCTGCTAGTCTTTGTCCACTCAGAACAAAAAGGAGCTTGGAGTCAGGGCAGAGAATGGAATCAACAGCCAGATGCCAATTTTTCTTCTTGAAAAGCACTGAATAAAATAATAGACTAGAATCCTAGGTCTAGTCTTCCTTTTTAAACTCTTCATCTAAACACTGGGCACTGAGTCCTGTAACAGTGCTTGGACTTGATCTGTGGGCATAGACTTTTATACATGAACATAATAAACTCTTGTTCCCCTCTGTACCTCACTTTGTGTCTTGCTGTTCTAGACAGAGTTCAGAATTCCTCTCATGGAATCCTGGCTCCCACCCACCCCCATTGTGACTCTGCCTATACCTGGTGCTCTCAACCAAACCTCCCTGGTATACTAAGGCACTGGTCCTACAGGCTATCAGTGTCACAACCAAAGCAGCCAAGCCAAAAGTCACATCTGAATAGGCTTTAGATCCTGAAAAACTATGGGTAAGACAAGAATACCTGTCCTGAAGCACAGAACTGCGAACTGTGATCCTGCCTGTAGTCAAAATTCTTTCTCCTCCTATGGGACATCAGATTTATGCCTGCCTGGAATGTTGGGTCTCTCTTCTCCCCTGAAGGAATTTGCTCCTCTGAACATCTATTTTGTGCCAAGTCCTGTGCTGGGATTAGAGATATTGGATGAACACATCAGTGTTTCCCCGAGGAGCTCATAGAATAATGGGAATACAAGTGAACAGTCACTGAGTGTGAGGAGCCACAGTAGGAACTATAGAAGGCAAGAGGAGGGGCGTAGCAAACAGGAGAAATCAGGGGCAATTTTTTTGGAAGAGGTGAATCCTAGTTGAGATTTCAAATGACACATAAGAGTCCTGTGATTACATGATGGTGTGGCTCATAGGATAGAAGAGAACTGAAAACAATTAGGGGATGGTAAAAAAGCCTTGAAGAAAAAAATCTAAGGGGTAGAGGTGAGGGCAGTTGGGCAGAAATAAATGTTCATGGGGGTAGTGGTGAGTCCCATCCCACCCCAAGGGATGGGTTAGAATACTGGGGACCCTTAGAATTTCTCATTTTCTGCTATATATTCAATCTTTTGCACTTAGGTCTCTATATTGGCTGGCGTTGTCCACATTACCTATGGGACTGTTACCGGATTGGGGATGAGTCTAAGTGCTTCTGTGGACACTTGCTGAAACAACACCAGATCATCTCAGGTACAGGAGAGGCTTCTCCAGAGTGGAGCCACAGAAGTACTCTGTTGAGTCCTGGGATGTATGGGGCTGGAAGGTTGCCTGAGTGCAAGTTGTATTGGTAGGGTGGGATGAGAAAGTCCAAATGTTAGGAGGTTCTGGTCAAACCTTACCACCCATCTCCGTTCCCATAGATATATCTGTGCCCTGCAATGTGAGCCAGTGCCACTGCATCATATTCTGCTTCATTCCCTCACGCCCAGAGGAAGTGGGTGAGTTCTGGCTCAGGAGACGAGCCACCTTCAACCCCAAGGCCTGGAGGGCCCAGTGTCGCTGCAAACACAGCCATGAAGACCACGCAGCCAATGGAGCCCATCCCTGCAGGCATCATGGTAACGCCTAGTACAAGGAGAGCATTGGGGTGGAAAGAAGAGAAAAGCAGAGTGTGGACGGGGGCAAGGGACAGTGAGGGCTGAGAGGAGAGACACCTGGGTATGTGGCAGGTAAGGAAGAGACAAGAATGTATCAGTCTATAGGGGTACCCCAATTCCCTATATTCTTCTCAGTTGCCCCTTTGTCCCAGGCTGCTCCTGCAATGGTTTTGAGTCTAATTTCCTCTGCGCGGCCTGTGACAAGCGCTGGGAGGAACATGAGACTTACTTTGAGACCAAGGAGACCAGAAGACGAGGAAGGAGGCCTTATGGTGAGACAGCACCCTGGGACAGGGCTACCCAGCATCTACAGACAGAAAGACACTCCCGCCCTCAGCTCTACCCTCCAGCACCCCTGCACTCCCTCATTCCATCCTACACATCCATTTCCCACACTGATTTCCACCCCCAGGAGCAGACTATGTGCCTTTTGCTGAGATGCCTGACCTCCAAGAAGCCATCACCAACAACCTTAACTTTGAGGCCCGCCAGGCGCAAGGGCTTTCTCATCATTCCAGTTCCCAGCCAAGTCCCCCTGCACTTCCTGGCCCATCTGGCCTCCAGTCTGGCCCCAAATTTGACCCGAATACCTGACCCATTCACTTCTGTTCTTTCTTCCTGCAACGATATATGCTGTCAACAGCTGGCACAGGCCTTTCTGAGCCCAGCCACATCAGCAATAAAGTGAAAGTCACTAGAATCTAACCTGGCTTTGTATGTGGCAGGAAAAGCCATAACCTAACCCATCTCCAAGACCTTAGAGTCAGCAGCACTTACTGGGGCCAAGAGATAGCACCAGCATCTGTCTCCATCACACCCACATTTAAACGGCTAGCTCTCACTTGAGAACTGAAGTGGCTTCAAGAAAGTCAAGAAGGGAGGGAATTGCAAGGATAGAATGAGAAATGATTTTGGTATGGCTGGGGCTTCTATAAGATCAAGATTGAGACGTACCCGTTGGATTTTGCAACTAGAAATTCTTTGGAGACCTCAGAGAGTACAGTTTCACATTGGTACAGTGGAGGCAGAAGCCAAACAGCAGTGAGTTGGAGTCTCTTCAAGAAGCGTAGGTGTATCACCAGGAATGGTGACTTATACCTGTAATTCCAGCACTCAGGAAACTGAGACAGGAGGATCAGTGGGAGTTCATGGCCAGCTTGGGTTTAAAAGAAGGAGAAGAGAAGCTGCAGCAGCAGCTTAGGTGAAAGGTACAGAAATATCAGAAAATATGTAGAGAGAGACTAGGCATGGTGGCACACACCTGTAATCCCAGCGCTTGGGAGACTAAAAACAGGAGAATCACTGAGTCCAATCTACATGGTGAGACCCTGTAGACCCTGCAGACCCTATACTAAATACATTTTTAAAAAGGCTGGGGAGATGGCTCAGTAGAATAAGTGCTTGCTTGGCAAGTGCAAGGACCTGAGTTCAATCCCCAGTTCTGACAAATAAATAAATACATTTAAAAAAAAAAAGAAAATATGTAGAGAGAGATCTGCAGAATTGAGGAATCATTTTTTAGGAGGGAAAGGAGAAGAGACCAGTAGACAAAAAGACCTTGCAAGATGCAGAATAGAAAGGAGAGATTCCCCAGTAAGAAGATACCAAAGGGAGAGAATAAGGTCAAGGCAGGGGTGAAGGGATTTGCTCTGAACAAAAGAACAACACAGCTGGGTGCAGTGGCTCAAACCTACTCAGAAGGCTGAAGCAGGAAGGTCACAAGCTCAAGGCCTGCCTGGGCAAATGAACAAGACCCTGTCAAAGAGGAGAGGTGAGAAGGGAAGAAAAAAGGGAGGAGAGGGAAGTCAGGGAAAATTCTATTCTAAAACCAAGAAGAAAGTTTGGAGCCTTTACTATGCTTTAGGAAGCAGAAACTTGTGGAAGTTCCCCTATAAGGACTAAGGGTGGGAAACAAGACAAAGAGAAAGGTGAAGTGAGGGGTGGTTAAGGTAGGGCATTTAAGAAAGTCCTGGATAGTTTAGGGTACAGTTAGAAATGAGAACCAGTTAGAGAAGAAAAGAAAAAAAAATAGATTAAAGGGTGGTGATGAGAGGGTTTCAGGAAAGATTATTAGGACAATAAGGCAAAAGTGGGATGAGGATATGGAGAGAGGAGGCAGTGCAAATAGGGAAGGAAAGTGATGCCAGGAAGCAAATGACAGGTGAAAAAAGGAGCAATCAAAGGAGCAGAAGTCTCTAAGGGGCCAGATAGTAGGTGCTGTACAGAGAGGGGAGTCAGAGCCTGTGCAGCTTCCAGACAAGAAGCTGCTGTGAATAGAGAAGCCTTCAAGCCATGGATCTGCAGCAGAACCTGCAAGGGGGGGGGGACTGAGGAAGTCCACAGGCGATGCTGAATGGGCGTAGGGAGTCTTACACTGGTACGTCCTGGGACTTGAGAGAACTTTCCCTCCATGGACCTCAGTTTCTGAACCTACTAAGCAGGAATAACCTATGTTGCCTGGTCTCTATGAGGATCCAAAGAACTAACTCACTTCTACGCGCTTTGTACTCACTATCCCTCCAGGCTGTTTGTCTTCTTCTTCTAGAACCCAGGTCCATGATTCCCTCCCCTTATCCAAGGCAGCTCTAGGGTCTTCCAGTGATCCAGAGGCACAGAGAAGAGGCCATTCTGCATTCCCTTCCATTTAAAGAAGCATCTGCCTTCTGGGGGTGGGGGATGGAGCAACCTAGACTTCAAGGACCCTGGAGAAAACCCTGACCCTATGGAGAAGGAAGGACTTTCTAACAGCAATATAGCTAGCTACGTAACAGGGATTTACTAACTCTAGAAGTAAGGTTTCTCAACACTGGTTATGTGTACCATGATAACATCCACATAAATCAGTTAATAGCCAACAACAGAGTAAGAGTTACTCTGATAAATCCACTCAAGGAAATAGTATACAGCCATTACAAAGTACATTTACATACACTATGTGATCATGAAAAATTAACCGGAATAATAATATCCCATACATGTTATCCTATATTGTGAAAGGAAATAAAACACCTAATGTTATTCATTCAACAATTATTGAAGGGGCCGGGGAGATGGCTCAGTGGAATAAGCACTTCCCTGGCAAGTGCAAGGGACTGAGTTCAAGCCCTAGTTGCGCAAAAAAAAAAAAAAAAAAAAAAAAAAATTGAGCATTTATATGTGTCAAGCCGTGTGTTTAAAAAAACAAAACTGGGGCTGGTGAGATGGCTCAGTGGTCTAAAGCACCTATTTAGAACAAGCTTAGCAAAGCATCAGGGACCGCGGTTCAATCCCCCAGCACCACATGCCCGCCAGCGCCGCCCCCTGGTGGGCTGAGCTGGCCACACACACACACACACACACACACACACACACAAATAAAAAATTAAAAAATAAATAAATAAATAAATATAAAAAAACAAAACTGCCAGGCATGATGGAATATGCCATAAACCTAGAAATAGGAAGCTGGGGCAAGTGTACAAGTCCAAGGCCACTCTAAGCAATTTTTTTTTTTTTTTTTTTTTTTTTTCGGAACCAGGGATCGTACTCAGGCCCTTGTGCTTGCCAGAGAAGTGCTTATTCTACTGAGCCATCTTGCCATCCGCAACTCTGGGCAATTTAAATTTAGTAATTTAGTGAAAACCTGCCTCAAAATAAAATTACAAAAGGACTGGGAAGCTGTGCATGGTGCCAAACCCCTATAATCCCAGCATTCATGAGGCAAAGGCAAGAGGACTGCTTTGAGTTGAAGGCCAGCCGAGGATACACCATGAGATCCTGTCTCAAAAAAAGTCTGAGTATGTATCTCAGTGAGAAGGTCCTGGGTTCAATTCTCAGAACTAAGAAAAGAAGCCAGGGTTATAGCTCAGCAAACTCATGTACAAGGTCCTGAATTTGATTCTTAGTACAAAAAAAAAAAAAAACAAAAAACCCACCCTAAAGATACTGTGGCAAATTATTCTATATGTGAAACATCAAACTAAAACTTAGTCTTAGTGTCTTTGTGACACTATGTTTATATTTGTGTGTGTGTGTGACACTGTTTTAGTTGGCCTTTGTTTTATTTTTGAGGCAGCATCTAGTCCTGTAGCAAAAAAAAAAAAAAAAAAAAAAAAAAAGTATCAAACCAAGTAGAAGTCTGCACTAAGGAGTTAGAAGGCAACTTTTACTACTGGAAGACTGGGGAACCCAGAAGTTCAAACCACCAGCCCAGAGTCAAGTTTGAATTCAGTTTAAATATGGTATGCAAGTGGAAAGTACAAAGCTGATACAAGAATTATGTCACATATTCTCAGGCAGGTTTGCACAGGAACATTCTGGAAGGGCAGGGTCTGAGAAGAGCAGGTAGGGTTGAAAGTGTCCTTGACTGGGCCAGTCTTCCCCCAAACATGCCGGCCTTGAAGCCCTTAAAGCAAGCTGGAATCACCATATTTTTAAAACAAAAGCCGGACACAACGGATTTGACCCACACGCCTTAAGGGGAAACATGGGCCTAGACAAGGTTAGCTACCTGACAGGAGCATGAGCATAGTCACAGGCTATGAACTGATTTCTAACATAACATATTCTAACATATATCCTACAAGTCCGCTATTCTGTAAATGTGCCCTAACAGTTCAGATTAGCTTCAAACTCACTATGAAGCCTAGGCTGGCCTTCATCTTGCAGCGATCCACCTGTCTCAGCCTTCCAAGTACTGGGATTACAGGTGTAGGCCGACCATGCTTGGGTCATACATCAAAACAAAATTTCCACTAGCGCAAACTTGATACAAAGAAAATGTATCGCATCCCCTCTTGTGAAAAGAACACTGGGTATCTACTACTTTTGCCTTAAATAAGTGCAGCAAAGAGGACACTCCCATCCTCGCCCGATCTTTTAAAAATGAAAAAACTACCTTGGACACTGCATAATATTTAATCTATAAAGAGAACGTGTTAAGGCATAAAATTAAGGAGGAATTGCCCTTTATAATCTTTGAGCTGGTGAAGGGTCTGAAACTGCCCTTGGGGAGAAAAGGTTGCACCAAAGGAAAACTACTCCGGCGCAGGTCACCTTTAGATCCGCCCCAGCGGCTCCTGCAGCCAACAAGCACGCGCCCAGTGCCCTCAAGAACCCTGCCCTCCTGGCCGGTGCCAGGAACGGGTCTAAAATACAGGTGAGGGAGCTATATAGTAAAAGCCCAGAAGCAGAGAGCCCCACCACTCAGGGGCCTCAACCTGAACCCAAGGTTGTTTATCTAAGTCAGACAGAATACACTACGGGGAGGTTTCTTAATTCTTTGATTTTAACCTCACAGCGAAAACAGCGTAATCCAGCCAAAAGGTACTTGCGCACTGATTGGACCACGAAGTCGATAGAACGGAAAATTGGTACTCGTTGGCAGAAGCAGCCAATGGGATGAAAAGATCTTGCCCCTACAGGGCAGCCGAGCCAATAGACTAATAGTGCCCAGAAGCGTGCGCCAATGGGATGGCAGGGCCCGCCCAAGTGGACCAATGGCCACCGCTCTCCCGCTACCTAATAGCCCACCTCCCTCCGGCAGCTGAGTGGAGCTGGCCGGGTGAGCGGGTCTCGCAGCCCAGGAAAATGGCTGCGGCGAGGGTGCTGGCTGCCAGTTTGCGCGCGGCGCGCAGAGCTATGGCGGCCGCGGGGGCACGGGGGGCGCAGGTGAGGATGGCCGCCGAAACGAGGACGGGGTCCCGCAGGCTGCGACGCCGGGGGGAGGGGGGGAGGCGCAGCACTCTTCCGGGCACCCGAAGGCGCGCGCAGCCCAGCAGTCTCTTAGAGCCGCTGCCCAGCTCAGAGGACCCAGCTGAGGGACTGTGCGGTGAGATCGGACTGGTGGAGGCAGAATTGAACTGGCCACGACCGCCAGTTCTGCACAGGCCCGGCTCCTAGGTCCGGTCAAGGACGGTGCAGGGCTGCGCCTCCCGCTTGCGTGATGCCTCGCTGGCTCGGGGCCTGCTCCCGGCCGCCCCAGTGTTCCCTGCAAAAGTGAGCTTTCTCTTCTTGTATCCAGCCTCGGCCCTCTAGCCTTTTAATAAGCACCCCTATTAACCTCTCATTCCTACCACTTTCCTGAAGCAACTTTGGGGGTCAGAGGAATCTGATTCACTCAACATGATGCACAGATGCACGTGAACTCAGCTTTCTCTGAGTTCATGGGAAACTGGAACAACTCTACCTCCAATCCGCTGGAGCTGAGTGCGCTTAATTGAGCTCATACAACGCCACTTAAGTTTCTAAAGTTAAAAGTCCACAGGAAGAGATCAGAAGTAACACCCAGATGAGGGAACAACTGATAAACAGGGCAAATGCATTAAACCAAAAATAAAACAAGTAACAAGGCTTAAAAGATCAAAAAGCAAGGAATATAAATAAGTGAAAATAGACTAGTAATACACAGAGTGTCCAAATGGCTTAACAGATAATGCATATTACCCTTTTATTTTCGAAGATGAAAAAAAAAAAAAAAAAAAAAAGGTGGTTTGATGGTAGAATTGGAACTTAGACCTAATCTTGAGGCACCCATTCTGGATCCTTTTCTCTGTATAGTAGTGTGTTCCATAGGCACATTAGCAGGAATCAATTGCACACCTGAATCCTACACAGTGATACTGTCTTATCCAAACAGACCCAGTATCATATGCCCTACTCTCTGATGCTGAAGCAGTACAATTCAGAAACATTTCCCTTGGGTGGGAACAACTCATATATTCTTAGAAGGATGCACTTAATAACTGTCAGACCCCAGCCCCAACTAAGGACATGGAAATTGCCAACTGCTCCCTTTTGGTGTGTCTGACCCATCTTCAGGTCCGAGGAGCTTCAGGTACAAGTGGTGGGAATGAAGTGGCCAAGGCCCAGCAGGCAGCTCCTGGAGGAGCAGCCCCAACTATCTTCTCTCGGATTCTGGACAGAAGCCTCCCAGCTGACATTCTATATGAGGACCAGCAGGTGGGGTCCCCTTAGGGCCCAGCCCCCTTAGAAAGTTCATAAACACCATTCTAGCCTGACAAAATAACATGATGCTCTCTGGCCTATCACTGCTCCCAGTGTCTTGTGTTCCGTGATGTAGCTCCACAGGCTCCTGTGCATTTCCTGGTTATTCCTAAGAAGCCCATTCCTCGCATTAGCCATGCTGAGGAAGAAGACCAGCAGGTGGGGAAATCAGGGACAGGGGTTGCCTGGGAAGAACCATAGACTAAGGTTTTGCTCTCTATGAATGAAGCTTCCTATGTCCCTCTCCTCTCCCAGTAGCTTCTAGGACACCTCCTCCTAGTGGCCAAGAAGATAGCAAAGGCTGAGGGCCTGGGAGATGGATACCGACTTGGTGAGTGACTTGGGACCCCCTCCTGTGAATTCCAACTCTTCAATATGACCTTCATTCTTTGACCTCTCCCATGATCCGGTCCCCCTAACCTCAAGCTCATTTCAGTGATCAATGATGGAAAACTGGGCGCACAATCTGTGTATCACTTGCACATTCATGTACTTGGAGGCCGACAGCTCCAGTGGCCTCCGGGTTGAACCTGCAACTGACCAAGGACCCCAGACCTGAATGCTTGGATGGGGAAGGGACTCTGTGATGCTAATAAATCTCTTATTCTTCAATTTTGCATCCCTGTCTTAAATATTCAAAAGATTTATGCCACAAAAGGGAAGAAAACTAATTTGGGGCCATGATTTCCCTTGGCAATGGGCAGAGACTGGGAAGCTGGGACAGGAGGATTCCAAATTTGAGCCCAACCTGGGCAACTTAAGGAAGATCCTATTCCAAAAATATATAGAAAACAGCCAGTGTTATAGCTCAGTAGCACAATGCCTGCCCAGAAAGTGGGAGGTCCTGACAATTAGTAAGAGAGAGAGAGAGAGAGAGAGAGAGAGAGAGAGAGAGAGAGATTAAAAAGGGCTGGGAATGTAGCTCAGTATAAAAGGCCTAGATTCAATCTCCAGTACCTTGAAAAAAAATCCGACACAAACATGCAGAGGAAACCACCATTGGTGGTTAAATAGATCAACTGATGTCAAACAGGGCAAGTGCATTACTTGCTTGTTGATCATCTACATAACCAGTGGCCTCTCTCGGCTCATATTTGTACAAAAGCAGCAACAGGAATGACCTGGAAGGAGTGGGGGGGGGGGCGGGGGGAAACAGCTGTAAGTCATACTCCATTCTGGCCCTTACCCAGAAGCCAAACCAGGTCCTATAGGTTATTGAGAAAAGAGTAGTCAATATAACTGTCATCTATTGGAAAAGTAATCACATGTACACACAAAAGCTGCTACCTATGTGATACTATATATGTCTTCCCATTTTGTTAACTGTTTCATGTATTTTCATCCTTTAAAAAAGCTTTAGACTTCTCATTCCCAACTTTTTTTTTTTTAAATTTTTTTTTTATTTATTTATTTGAGAGAGAGAGAGAGAGAGAGTGTGTGTGGTGTGTGTGGGTGGCCAGCTCAGCCCACCAGGGGGCGGGGCTGGCTGGCATGTGGTGCTGGGGGATCGAACCGCGGTCCCTGATGCCTTTGCTAAGCTTGTTCCAAGTAGGTGCTTTAGACCACTGAGCCATCTCTCCAGCCCATTCCCAACTTTTGAAAATGAACCGAAAAAAGAAAAGAACCAAGCATGCTAAAGGGAAACTACTGTTGCCCTCCACAAGCACACTAAGCTTTTGTGTAATGCTCTAGCTCTATGCTTGTCGCCAACACATCCCCATAAGCAACCACCTTAGTTGCAAAGAATCACACTCTGGCCTGCAGGGCGAGGCTTCAGTCCCGCGGAACCTTAAAACCGCAGCCAACACCGAATGGAATCCAGACCGGAAAGCCGACTCCCAGTGAACACTAAGTTTAACACTTCCGCCCCGCACAGGGCTACCCCCCCCCCAACTCCACGCCCAATTTTAGTTCTGCGCAGGCTCCTGGATTACCGTCGCTATGGCAACCTGGTAGCGGGACACTGAAGATGAAGCCCAAGGAGTCTATGCAAGGATCGCGGTCGCGGTGAGAGCCGCAGGGGTAAGGGGACGAGGGAGGTCAGCGGACTTCTGCTGCTCTCCTGCCGGCCTTGACGCATTCCTTTTCTTTCAGAGCTTTAGAGGTAGAGCCGAACTCCGAAGGACTAACGACTGCCGCGGAGCCGTTTACGTCTTCGGATGTCGGATCTAGGCCTGCCCTAACAGCTGCAACCACAGCAGCTGCAGCCGCTTCCACCAACAAAGCAGGTCTCATATGTTCAGAGACCCTAGAGCCCCATTCTGGGTTCACGGAGCCTTCCTCTGACAATCTTGGGGCAAAATGTGCAGGATCCCTCCAGACAGGCCTTGAGAGCCCTGACTGTGAGCCTGCCCATGTTTCCTGTATTGCTCTGGATCCCTGTACTCAAACCGACCTTGGCTCAAGCTCTGGCCCTGCTCCTACCTCCAGCTGTGGTCCTGGCAGTGGCTCTATCCCTGGCTCTGGCTCAGGGCTTGGCCATGGTTCTGGTCGAGGCTTCCATCTTGCCTCTGGACCTTGCCCCAAGATTAGCCCCTGCACCCCTCAAAGGTTCAAAAATCTCAGGCCAGATCTTTTCCCTGATAATACCTCCTGGAATCCCCACTGCTACTGGGCACCTCAGAAACCACCAAACTGGGAATTTCTGCAAGTCTCAGAACCTGGTGCCCGAGGGCTGTGGAAACCCCAAGAGGTTGAAGGAAAGCCTCAGTTTCACTGCAGAAGACCATTAGCACGGGGCCAGTGCCTCCTCTACAACTGGGAGGAAGAGGTATTACGTTTATGGCTTTTCCCTTCCCACCTTCCATGGGGAGTGAATGGTTTCTGGTGAGGGGGGAGGTACTAAAAGAAATAATCACTGAACCTGGGGCCCACAGAGAGCCACCAATCACCTGGATCAAGTCCCAAGCTCAAAAGATGGCTCTGAGAGTTTCTTCTTCCGACATGGGCACCAGGGGCTGCTGACCATACTACAGTCACCTGTGCTCTCTGCCACCACCCAGAAAGACTCATACCAACCACCAAGAAACTTCTGTCAGCCTCTTCGAGGTATATGAAGCAAGAGAGAGCAAACCAGAAAGAGTCCATCCTGAAGAGAAAACAGTTTCTGGCTGGACTGTGGATTATTTGATGGATATAAAGGAAAATCCCAAGATTTCCCTTCCTTTTCTTGAATGTGTCTTAACCAGACCTCCACTCTGCCCTCCCACAGGGAAGCGTGAAGCTGTACTGGAGATGCTCCTGTACCACCAGATCTGGTGAGATACTGGGGAAAGGGGAAGGAGGGGGAGGAGAAACCTTGGGAGAATGGCCTTGATAGCCCCCAGGGCTATGCAGTAAAGAGCTACAGGAAGAGCAAGAAACCCCAAGGAAGCTCTTTGAGGTCGAGTCAGTGACACATCATGACTACAGAGTAGAGCTGATGCGAGCAGGGCCTCCTGCCCCAACAAAGGTGAGACACCATCCCATCCCATTTGTTCAGCTGGGTTCTCAAAGGTGGGCAAGCCCAGAAGTTGTGAATGAGGGCCAAAGGGCAGGAGTTACTCAGTATCTCTCCCTAACAGCCTCACGACTACCGTCAGGAGCAACCTGAAACCTTCTGGATACAAAGGGCAGGACAGCTACCGGTATGTGAAGGTAGACTAGGTATTAGAGGTAGAAAAGAAGGCAGGGGAGAGGCTGTTCCGTTGTGACTTGAGGGAGGGTAAGATCTGTCCTCATCCTGGCAATTCTCTAGGGTGTCAGTTACATCAGGACACTGGACACACCATTCCGGAAGAACAGCAGCTTCTCGACACCAGTACCCTTGTCTCTGGGACAGCCTTTGCCCTATGAATCTGACAGCTACCCCCACCAAATGGGCGATATGTCTTCCCTTGCCTGTCAGGGAGGAAGGCATTGATAAGGAAGAATGGCTGCTGTCTATCAGTTGAGGTAAAACAGGATATGGAATTTGGAATCTATTTCTGTTTCTAGTAGAGAAGTGGGTGGGAAGGAAGTTAATTTTCTCTGTACTTGATGGAAGGGCTTTACATAAACGGTTCTCCCTCATCCTAAGACTGCTGATTCATTGATTGTGCGAGCCACTGGATCCATAAGGCATAACCTTTCCTTCAGATTGCCCAAACCCAGACTATGACACCATGACTTGTTGTTGTTTTATACTTGGCCAAAATATTCTGGTGTAGATACAGATATTTACAGAAGGTAGGGAGGCAGGAAACCACATCAGAGAAGGACAGGTATATGTACAAGGCTGAGCTGCAGAGAGCTTCAGCTTCCTTATGAGGAGGTTGTTTGTGCACATTTTCCACCTCATTTGATAATGTCTGTTTTTGGTATGTGAGAGATGGTAGCTTTGTCTACCCAGGTACCAGCAGCAGGAGATTGTCTGACTTGGGATGAAATAGGATTTACAGGAGTCCGGGAGGTCCTTTCCGCTCTCCGAGGAGCCAGTAAGTTCGCATCTTTCCTTTTCCCTGGAAGCAGGCGAGTAAACATAGATTGAATTCTTTAGTATGAATGCCTTTGTCATTTTCTCTTTTGCTTTCATCCTCCCTTTCCTCCCATGGCCTGCCCTCACCTTCATCTCTACATCTCCCCGAAGCTCTAGCTGGAAGCATCCTAGCTCATCCAGCGCATCCTTGGTGGTGGAGGAGACATGGATCTTCAGGGCTGGGATGGATGGAGGGATGGTAGAAAGACAGGTCAGAGAAAAGGCAGTAGAAGAACTGATAGTACTGGAGAGCGCCTTACCCAACCCTGAAGCTCCCTGTTTTCCCAATATATATTCCCTAGAACAAAAATGCACTCAAGAATGGGGAACTTAGGAACTGTGTTCTCCTAGATTGAGAGATTTGTAGGAACTCTGGAAAGAAGAAAAGAACAAGACAAACTGAGGCTGAGGCAGTAGCTAAAGGCCAGTGTATTACCTTGACCGTTAGATTCCATTCGAGAAGCAGTGTTCACCGTGTCTCCAAAAAGACAATAGCGGGGCATCTTCAGGCCCACAACCCCAGCACACACTGGCCCTAAGAAAAGAAACAGGTTGGGAGAGCCTGGGAAGGGTGGAGACCAGGGGTACATGAGAGTCAGCCTTACCCGTGTGGACCCCTATGCGTAGCCTTAGCTGGTCATGGGGTCGGTGGCGGATGCGAAAGGAAGAAACTGCATCTAGTAATGCTAGGGCCATCCGAGCAATTTCTGGCGCATGGCGTTGACCATTTCGACCCGGGAGGCCAGACACCACCATGTATGCATCCCCAATCGTCTCCACCTGATTGAGAGGGGGATTGAGAGGTCACCTGTGTCTGTATCCCTGGGAATGAGGAAGAGCAGAGGGAGGCAAGCTGGGCATCTCTAGGAGTCATCCTGACTGCCTGGGAGGCCAGAACACGGACTAGAAAATAACTGCCATGATCCTGCAAATCTGAGAGGAAGGAGAAGTCAAGGAAGTCTTGACCTCAGAACCCTGTAAACATTTGCTGAATGAGCAGATGCCCATCTGCAACAGGGCATGGATAAACAGGCTCTGCTGTCAATAAATGAGAAGCAAGAAAAGCACTTGCCTGGCAAGTGCAAGGTCCTGAGTTCGATTCTCAGTACCCCACCCCCAAAATAGAAAAGCAAGAAAGCAGGGTAACCTGAAAAGCACAGAGGCTGGCAAAGAGGTGACGCAGGCCCAGCAAAATGGACCACATAGCCCAGACTGCAGAGGGTGACAAAGCAGGCACTTGACTCGTAATCATACCAAGACTATGTACGAGAATGTCCTTACATTCTCTTTTTCTATGAAATATACAATGAATTTTTCAGGATATATACAGTAGATATTTAGGATGAAGGGATTCTACATTTGAAACTTATACTCAAATGGTTTCAAAAATAATTATATAAATAAGTTTCTACACAGACACACACCTTCAGTACTGGGGCTTGAATTTAGGACCTTCACTATATTCCCAGCCCCACCCCACCGTTTACTTTTTTTTTTTTTAATTTTAAGACAGGGTCTCAGTTGCCGGGGCTGGGCTCGAATTTGCAATCCCCCTGTCTCAGCTTCCCAGAAAGCTGAGATTACAGGTATGAGCCACCAAACCTGACTCCTTTTTATTTTTTATTTTGAGACAGTGTCTTGCCAGTTGCCCAGGTTGGGCTCAAACTTTCTATCCTCCTATATTAGCTATCCAACATGGCAAAATTATAGGTGTGTGCCACTGTATGCAGCTACTTTGTTTCTGAAAGTAAAATGAGGAAACCAAAACAATTGAATCTAGGTAAAGCATTTATGAGAGTTATTTTGTTATAGAAACAGAGATGATAGAATAAGCCCAAAAGGAAAGGACAGGAATAGATATTTATTATCACTAAGTGCCATATACAATGTCAGATACTTTTCATGCAACCATCCAACCTATATTCTCTCTCCTTTCCTCCCACCCTCCCTTCCTCCCTCTCTCTCTCTCTGCGGTATGGGGGACTGGGGATCGAATCCAAAGCGACTTCACGCCGAGCTACATCTCCACAGACATTTTTATTTTGAGACAGAATCTTTCTTCAACACTGACTTCCCTAGACTGCACTTAGGCTTTTGATCCTCAGCCTCCTGAGTAGCTGCGATTACAGCCTTGAAGCACCATACCTGACAACTAATATATTATCCCCATTTTAAAGATAAAACAAATGAGACTCAGGGAGAGTCTGCCACTTACCTAGAACCACACAACTAAAAAGCTAGTATTCAAATCGAGCTCTTTTTATACATAAAACCTGTCTACCAGTGCAGTGATTTCAACAAAAAGCTTTACAGGAAAAAAAAAAAAAATCTTTACAACCCACTAAATCAATCTGTGGTTACATCTTATCTGATTCTTTCATGTCTGGAAAAGAAAATGGATATGCTGTATATCCGCAAGGAGATAAGGAGTAAAGCTTGTGATGGTGCTAATTAGGGACCCTAAGGATTCACGAGGAATTAGGCCAGAGTGTACATTTATAATGCTGGAGCCACACCCATCCACAAAGTGTACACCATCAGCAGGATGCTGGAGACCCTGAAAGAAAGCTAACCCTGGAGTGGGAGAGCAGTGGGGAGTTCAGAACCTAGGTTTTAAAGGGGTTTTCTATAGAAGGGCAGTCCAGCTCTCACCTTGTAGACGTCAAAGTTGTCAATGATGGCATCAAAGCAGGTATACAGGTCATTAAGAAGTGTCACCACCTAACAGGATGGGAGAGCAGAGGCCCTGAAATTCATACCCAGCCTACTAATTCTCAGTCCACGAGTTGTACCAACGTCTGGGTGCTCCAGAACAACCAGTCTTCCCTGTTATCAGTGAAGCTCCCAGGCCCCTATCCCACCCTCAACCGCTCAGCCACAGCTCTCACCTGCATGGGGGTGCTTTCAGCTGACAAAGCTGTGAAGCCAACGATGTCACTGAAGTAGATGGTAACACTGTCAAAAGCCTCAGCCTGTACTGTCTCTCCCCGCTTTAACTGCTCTGCCACAGAACTAGGAAGCAAGAGTACAGTGTAAGCCAGTCTCCCAGAAAGATGGTTGTAGAGGGCAGGGAGGAAAAAGGTAGGTGGCTGCAAAGTTCTGCAAAATTACCTAGAGCAAGGTAAGTTATACCAGTGGCGGAGGGTTACCAGGGATCTGCATACAGGGGCTAAGGGTCTCAAGCTGGGAGTATTTTGCATATGGTTGTTAGAGAAAGGCAAGGTATAGTAATGTCCTAAGGAGGGATGGAAGCCAGTAAGCACAGCTCATTGGAGACAGAATGAAAGTGTTTAGTCTATAGCCAGAAGGGGTCACTGTGGCAATATAGAATAAATAAGTTCTGAGGGTGGAAAGTGAGTTTTCAGGAGGCTGATGATGCAGAACCCAAAAGAGTTGACTCCCAAATGAAAATTTAAGGAGAGGGACAAAGGTCTCACTGGGGTAGAATTTGGTAGAGCAGAGCCTCAGCCTTGCGTTTCTCCTCCAGATAAGCCTGTGTGCGTTCTTCCACCAGCTTCTCCAGGTTATTAGCATACTGTTCCATGCGCAGCAGGAGGTTGTCCAATATGCTGGTGCCACCCTCCCTGCAGGGAAGCCAGGTTATGGCACCTGTTTAAGGGTTTTTGGTTTTTTAGACAGGGTTTTGCTTTGTAATGCAGATTGGCATTGAACTCTGTGCTCTTCCTTCCTTGGCCTCCTGAGTGGTGGAATTACAGACACACACCACAACACCTAGTGCTCCAAGATTCTTAAGAATCCCAGGACTTCCTATCTAATCCACCCCTTGGCCCCACCAGCCCCACCTTATCACTAATTAATGAGGCTTCTGTCTCTCAGGAGTGCATGCCCCCTATTTCCCTCTCACTTGTTAAAACGGCGAATGAAGCCTTTGATCTGTCCAAAATCTGGCCGCTCAGCTGGGTCCTGGGCCCAACATCGTTCCATCAACAAAACTAGCTCTTCATTCAGTTGCGTCCGGTCAATAGTTGGCCGAAAATATGGTCGCTGACCATTTTGGACCTTCTGGACAATCTCTAAGGGTGATGAAAGGTTTGGATGAAGAACAGGGTCCTCCAGGAAGGAGAAGCTATGAATAGTAATTGGCTCTCACCTTTAGGGCTGAGGTCCAGGCCCTCCAAGTAGAAAGGACCACTGCGAAGTGCTATCTCCTGTAGGATGATCCCAAAACTGTAGACATCAGCCTTCTGCATTCCTGTGGTTGGCAAGGGGTTCCCATTGAGCAGTTCTGGTGCAGTCCACAGCTTCTCTGAAAAGAAAAACAGGCTGGCCAAGTCCCCAAAATAGGTACCTGTAAGCCCACCTAGGTTCATCCACATATTGCTGTCACTCTGTCTCTCCCACCATCTCTTGGTGGAAGTGATCGAGGCCAGAGGAACAACATAAAAAGTGGGTTGTACAGGGAGGCCTCACTGGCATAGAGGGCGTGGCTGTCATCAGGTTCAGCAGTTGATCGGAAGCTGGCCAGTCCATAGTCTGTAATTTTGAGTACAAAACGACTATCCACCACACAGTTGGAGGACTTGAGGCTTCCATGAGA